CTCGTTTTTCACAGCATCGATAAATATATAAATTATGATTGCTTAAACATCTACATACCAAGTTTAATTCTTAAGAAAAAATTGATTTGCTAAGTGTATTCATTAAAATCAATATTAAACATATGGCTTTGAATAAATAGTCATTTATCTAGAATAGATAAGATCTAGAATAGATGTAGGTACTAGATAGTCTAAATATTGGAGAGTGAATATTTTTCATTGATAATTTTTGTTAGGCTTTTGACTGTTTTTTATATGATAGAACACTTCAAACAAAGTAATCAATAGAGAAAAGTAAATTTTAAATAATTTAATAAATGAAATACGTTCCCCTCCTCAAAAATAATATATTCTATATACAGTTATTAATAATATTTTATTTTACTATTCATTCAATATATTATATATAATATATAATATAATTTATATATTTTCATTTGATAAGACAAGAAAAATTGCTTACGTAAATTTTCCCACTGGACAATTAGATCAAGAATCAGGAAACAGATAATAAACAAATGCATATAAAAGCAACAAATTATATGCTAAATATAATGAAAAACACGTTATAGCACGCATTTATTTAAAACCCAGAGCAATGGAATAGTTTATGAACAACAGAAATCCTAATGAAAAAAATTATCTTGAAACCACCATCGTATTGTGCTACATAATTCATATAAACATAATTTGATTTAAATAATATAGAATCTCGTGACATCAATTAAAATCGTATTTTATACAATTGAATATTTATATCTTTTATAAGTAATATCAATCATTACATATGTTTACTATAACAATATAGTAGTCGAAGCAACGCATATCAATCATTTTTATTCTCTATTATTGATATTAATTAGAACCGTTTTATTTATTGGAAATTATCATAATAAATGAATAAATTATTTATGTAATAAACTTGCAAATAAGAAGTAGCAGATATTATCAATAATTTTTATATTGCATTGCGCGTACAAATATCTTATTATCTTATAATGATGGCTATTAAATTAATATAAATTTATAATAAATTAAGTCTAAATAAATTTAAGCATTCTAACAATATAGTTAAGAGCAGAGTTGAACGCATCATGAAAGACTTCAATGAATACATGATAAATGCATATAAAATATTTTATAATAAAGAGAAGCTATTTTATAATATTTTCGAAACGGTCGGATTTGCCTTTGTAAAAGCTAATCAGCACGTCTCCCAATAAATACGAATCAAAATTTTAACTTGCCTTAGGGTAAGTTATAGTAATCGCAAAAAAATCATATATGAAATTTTTTATATATCTTCACGTTTCAGAGGTTTCTGAACATTTTGACATACCTTAGTGTGTGTGTATGTGTGTGTGCGTGTGGGTGTGTGTGCGGATAAAAATTTTCGCTGACGATTTCGAGAACAGGAATCAACTGATTTTAATAATTAAAAAAACATTCGATTCGTTTTGCTAAGGAAACGTGCTGATTAGTTTTTGACGAAGGCAGGTCTAACCTTTTTGAAGATTTCAATAATAAGTGTGAGTTTTGTTTATATTTCTATGGGTTCCGTACCAACGTTTATCCGTTAACGCGCTTTGCAATTATTTCTTTAAAACAGCTAAGTAGCACGATTGCTTTGAAAAAAGCTTAAAATTTTAAGATAAAATTAAAGTATAAAAATTAATTTTAAAATTAAAAAAAATTCAAATTTTAAAAAAATTCAAAATATTTCAAAAATTTCAAAATTCACGTTTTCAAAAAAAATTAAAGGTTTTTCAGAAATTTTAATTTTTGGTACAAAAATTTCCAGCAATTTACCTTAAAGCGATCCCATGCACCACGAGTTTTTGAATTATCCAAATCGGTTGATCCGTGTTCCCGAAATCGTCGACAAAAGTTTGTGTCCGCACACAAATACATTCATTTTTTCTAAGGTTTGCCAAAATATTAAGAAATGTCTGAAATGTAAAGATATTTAAACATTTTCATTTTCCATGTTTTTGCGATTGCTATAACCCTATGGAAAGTTGAAATAATTTTAAATTGGCAATACTCTTACCGAAAATAAAAACTTCGACAGCAATATTCCAAATACAAAAGGTGATCAATTGATCGTTTATTTTTGAGTCCAAAATCCTAAGTGAACTAGTTCATTCATAGCATTAGATTTTTACCTTACAATTTTGTTCAAATAAAATCCCATATAAGAAAATAAATCAATCCCAAGCATTGAAACGAAGGTTGCATGACGTAAACAAATGCAATATAGAAAGCCCAATTTGGCTACATTTCAAACGCGTAACTCGTTATAAATGAAGCTGGTTTGCATACAAAAATTATATTACATACTTGTTTCTAAATTAAAATAAAATATACATATTATTGGACATAAATAAATAAATAGAAGGATGGCAAATATTTAATATGCGCGAACTATGAATGGCTTTTGTTCAGGTTAAGGCGAGAACTTAGGAGTGTCTTCTGCAAACAAACTATTTACACACATTTTATTAATATATTGTCAATAAAGATAATAACTAATGACTTGAATCAATATTTATGGCGATTTTATCATAATTAAATCATAATTATGATTAAAAATAATTGTTAAACAAGTTGAAACATTTTCCTAATATTTTTTACATCTCGATATATAAGTGTATTTGTAAGATAAATAAGTATTTGTAAGTTTACAAAATAAACTGGAATACTCCTGAGCGTTTTCTAAATATTTTGGCGTACCTTAGAAAAATGGATATGTGTGTGTGTTTTGTGCGTTTCAGGAGACGTGCTAATTAGCTTTTGGCAAAGGCAGTTCAAGCCGTTTAGGAGACAAGGATCGAAAAAGCAGAAAATGAAAATTCAGTTTTTGCGAAAACGAGGTATCCGGTTATATTGATCCAAAAGACATTTGATTCGTGTTGACGGCGAGACCTGCTGGTTAGCTTTTTGCAAAGACAGGTTCAGGCGATTCAAAGATACGGGGTAGAAAGAGCAAAAAATGATAGTTGAGGAAACGGAGCATCCGATTAGAATTGTCCAAAAAATCATTCACTTGTGATGATGGAACAAAGAATCTATTACATTTTTGCCAAGGCATGCCTAGCAATTTTAGAGACGCAAGATTTTTTGTGCAAAAATTGACATTTGTTGATCAAATATCATCTTTACAAATTATTATTATTAATTCATATACAAATAGAGTCATTGGCAGGCAGGTAGACAGGTTGACAGGTATACAGACATACAGGTAGACAGGTAAACAGGTAAAAAAGAAGAAAAGTAGACAGGTAAGCAGGTTGCCACTTAAAACTTTCACACAGATAGACAGGTAGACAGCTAGACAGTTAAAGAGGTTGACAGGTAGTCAGGTGAAAAAGTAGAAACAGGGATATGTAGACAGATAGACTGTTAGACTGTTAAATTGATAGATAGATGAGCTAGAAAATAAGTTGAGAGGCAGACAGGTACACAGGCAGGTCGATCATATAAAAAATATTGTTGATTGAAACGATTATTTACACATATCGGGAAGTTTATGCAATTGCCACAAGGCAATATGACACTTACAACAAGTTTCAAGACTTTCTGAACATTTTGGCATACCTAAGAAAATATTGATATATGTATGCGTATGTTTGGTTACAATTTTTCATCCACAATCTCTACAGCACTGATCAACCAATTTGAATGATTCGAAAACTATTCTATTTGTATTGATAAGAAGACGTGCTAATTAATTTTTGCGAAAGCAGATCGAGCGTTTTCAGAGATACGGAGCAAAAGTGCAAAAAAGACACATTTTAAGAGAAGGGAACATCCGATCAGAATGATTAAAAAACATTGAATTCGTATTGATTTCGTGAACAATTAATTACATTTTTGTAAATTACAAAAAGTGCAAAGAATATAAATTTATAGAAAAAGGCGCATCCGATTAGAGTGATTCAAAAAACATTGTTTGTATCGACTGAAGAAATTATTAGTTTTTGTATTTTCTTGTAGATAAGCACAGATAAAAGTCTTCGATCAATATAAACACTTGAGAGAGATATTAAATGTTCATAATATTAAATAATTATTAAGTTTGCATAATAAGAAAAGAAAGCTAAAAATTTGCTGAAAATGCAAATTCTTGTTGTAGTAATCGATTCATTCATTCAGATTTTTTTTATTTTCTTATAAATTACAATCTGTCTAAATAGAAAGACATTGAGTAGTTAGTTTGACAAATAACATAAAATTTTATAAGGAAAACCCAGTGGTTCACCTTTAATTAATGTACTAAATTATACATTTACACAGACTACATATATACATACATACACACACCTATTATAGATAATTTGGTAGAACAACTTATTATTGATTAAAGTGTTTTAAAGATCTATTAAATGCTTTCTTTTTAGTCTTATATTACGGTGGTGTTATTCATGCAGATTTAGATTTGATTCAATTATTTGAAGTTATTATATAGCAATAACATTGACATAGCTAAATAGTAATAATATTGAATAAGTTAGGTTAGTATATAAAACATGTAAATAAAATCAGTCTGGGGATAAGTAAAATTGTTTCCAGAACAATACAATATATAATACAATTAACTCTTGTTGTTGTAATAAAATAGACAAAATATGGAAACTTACTTAATAGCGTATTATCGTGTCATCTTAAATAATTGTCTGAGACAATTACGTTAGTACCTATATTATGTATAATTAGTATTTTTCAACGCAAAAAGTCGTTTGAACCACCCGGCGAGTTTGAAACACGCGCGAATCCAATCCGATACATTATTTTATATCTTCTGTTTGTTATTGAAAGACATCAGTATTCAAAGAGCGCGCGCAGCGCAAACAAGAACAATCATGACACCTTATAAATTGATATATTTAAATATTATAATATTACTTATTTATTTAACAACCCTTGTGAACTGCCAAGACACTTCAACAATTAACACCCCCGAAATCAAAAGACGTAGTTTCGATCATTTTCCTACCACCGAAAGGACTATCAATTTCACGGAAACCGAAAATGACCCGGAAATCACTGTCGCTGATCTCAGCGCCAATTTTCAAAATATTTTGAAACAAAATAATGGTGATGGTGCAAATAAAGTAATTAGTGATCGTATTATTGACTTGTTAGCCAAAAATAATATTAGTGCTAGTGATTTTGCTAAAAGCAAATTGGTGAGTGAATTGTATCATTTGGAAATTGGTGCTTCGAAAATTGAGAATTATATTTGTAAGAAGCAAATTGTATCGGCTATCAATGGGGCGAGGACTGGACAAGTATGGGCTTTGAAAAGTAAGAATTTGAATTTATTTAATTTTTACACACACACAAATTATGAAAAAAAATCAAAAATAATTTGGTTTTGGGAAAAAAGCTCAATGAAAGTAATATGGTTTTAATATTTTTACACTTCTCATTTACATACAGTTTTCATTATAAGTTTATTGCCTTTGTATTTTGTTGTTTACTGAAACATATTATATATAATATTTAATTTAACTTAGACCCTGTATGTTATATTAATTCTAGTGTAATTTTCATTATTTCTATGTATGAAAATTCCAAAGTATTTTAACGTTTATTTAAAATAGTCTCCAATATATAATTATTTGCCTTTGTATTTTATTATTTTTTTAAATATAGTTTTTACTTTACTGCCATTTTTATCTGTGGGATAAAATCTGTGTCAACTATTCTTTATTATATTTTCTAAAATAATTTGCTATTTTATTCATATCTTTTATTCTGCACTCACTCATAATTTTAGTCAGTATATGATCTTTTTTTTAGTTAATTCAGATGAGTAATTAGAAACTATTACACGAATTTTTTTTATTCAATTCATACAACATTGTATTAATATCTATGAATTTTATATTATTTTTGTATAGAAATATTTCAAAGTATAATTTTCTTTAAAGTAGTTTTTGACATTTAATTATTGCTATAGTATTTTATTTAAATATCCATATTTTTAAATTTAATTTAATAATTTAATTTATTTTTATTCATATTTTTAAAACCAATGAAATCCAAATATCATAAAAATATTTTGTTCAATTTATATATTTATTTTATGAAGTAAATGAAATTCTATCTCTCCATCGAAATCTCTTATAGAAAATTTATTATATTAATATGTAATTCAAAATACATTTAGTTATTTTATATCCTAAATATAGGTCAACATTTAAAACTCATACGAATGCATTCTGTGAAAATTTTGTCATTTCAGCAGTAAAATTGTTTGCAATATAAACTTAAATATAAACAAAGAATGTTATTATCCAGATTAATTATTTATAACAAATATACTAACAAACCTAATACGATAGTAATTTCTGATAAAACGTTAATTTAAAATGTTATTATCCTAGATATTACCAGATTTTTTTTACAATTTCAACTGTAAAATTGTTCAAAATATAAGCAAAAGCTAACAAAGAACGTTATTAACCTGTTCGACATATAACAAATAAATAAACGTAACACTATCTAGTATCTCATAAAATGCTAATTATAACGTTTGTAAATTAAAATGCGATTATCCTTGACAATTAACTTGACATAATTCTAATATTGATAAAATTGTTGCAAGATATTAAATAATATAAAACTATTTCCATGACCTATTTTGATATAAATAAAAATATAATTCGATGCAAATTCGTTGTGTTCTGAGATAGATTTGCAAATACCTTGGTTTTAAAATAATTTACATGTTAATGATGATGATAGAACGCTGATAGATTTTTGTTTATGAAGTAACAATGATTCATATTAATTGATTTTATTTAATAAAACTTGGCAAGGTCTAATACAATGTAATTGTTAGAGATATAATAAACAAACTAACAGAAAATTTGCTGCTAAGGCATAAATTTACATTTATTAAAAATTTTCAGCATTTTTAAATTTCTATTAATTAACAAATAACTTGTAACATAACAAATAACCTTGTTCAGGATCGAACTTTGGCTAGGAAATAAAACTTTTTTTTTTAATTGTATAGTAATCAAGTATGAAATATATTGAAAGAAAAATATAACATTATTTTTCCAAAAATTAGTGTATCCTATCAATAAGAATCGAATGCTTTCTGAATAATTCAAATCGGTTGAGCAGTGCTCCCGAAAACGTCGACGAAAAATTGTATCCACACATACATACATACGCACACACACATACATCAAACCTTTTCTAAGGTATGTAAAATGTTCAGAAACTTCTGAAGCGTAAAGATATGCAAAAAATCTCATTCTCGATTTTTGGACAATTACAATAAATTACTCTACGGAAAGTAAATAATTACGACTTATTATATTTTGTTGTATTTGGAAATTTAAGAATATAGTATCAACTTCAATATAACCATTCTAATTAGAAAATTCAAACATTTAATTTTTTTTAATCATAAATTTGTATAAAAATAATAAATTTGTGAGCTTATCATTTTCATTGTCCCACCTTGTAAAATTTTAATTATTAATGAAAACATAAGTTTAGGATATAATGCGATATAAAAATATTTATACAATAAATTTTAATAAATACTTCTAAACGATTATTAATGAGAAAATGAGAATTCCATTTAATTGAGTACTATTTTATTCCAAAAAACAATGATTCCACATAACAATTATAAACAACTTATTTAGTCTTGACGAGAAAAAAAATGTTTCGTGAATTAAAATATATTAATTAAACTAATAATATTTTTATTTCGAAATACATTGAAAATTTCAAAATGTTTTGAATTCTTCTTTAATTTTAGACAAGAAAAGAATGTGATACAAAGTTATAATAATTTTGAATAAATACTTCCAGTCGAGTATTATTTGAAAATTGATATTATTTAAGTAGCATTTTATGGTGAAATAAAAGTAAGACATTTATTTCACAAAACATTTGTAAATATTTTATTTAGTCTATTTAATAAATATTTGGCGCATAAAAGTAATCTCACTGTATTCTCAATACATCAAAAGTATTTTACAAAATATTAGTAGTTTTCAATCAAATAATCTTTATAATGCCAGTGTTAAAAACAGCTAAACTTGCCTTGCAAATGTTGTACAAATTACATTAATCTTAATTGATGCATGCAATTAATTGATATAAGAAGTATGATCATAAATATTCAAATGCATTTTAACACGTGCCTTTGATACAGATGCAGGGAAGTATAATATAATCTCGACAAATAAGTACTACGACGTCATCATTCATGGTCAGATTATTCGGAATATCCGTGGAAAATTTATTTATCGTATATATATTGAGAAACTTGTTTGCAATCGTCATCATCGGAATTAAGTTGTGATAGTTTTGGATATTATAAGGAATATAATTTAAAGATATCACTTATAATTAGATATCTACACATTTGAATCAATAATAGTTAATTAATAAATACTAAAATTGCTGGTAATATAATGTGCATCAAAAATATAGAGCTCAAAATGCATCACAATATCGTCCTATATTTTTACCCTCATACAAATATACTAAAATAACTAATGCTTGAGCTCATAACACTCTTAGAAAAACTTGATAAATGAACTAATTTAATCAAAATTTTTAAAAATTAAAAAGAAAGCTTAAGCATTAAACCCAATGAATATGCAGTATAAAAACACAATTACTAGCATTTTTAAGAAAGTTTGCTTTAGTTTAAACTTCAGTAAATGAGTAAAATATACACTTCATAAAAAAATATTGTAACTGTCGATAGTTTTTTCTGTTGAATTATTTAAGTATTAAGTATTTTTCTTTGAAAATTTAAATTGAAACACTTAACAATTATCATGCAACAGTTCAGCTCTGACAACGTACTAAAATACCTATAAATATTTACATTTTTAATGATTTTATTAAACCATTAGTCTATACTCTTTTAGTAGACATTGAATGTTATCCTTTTTATAGAGTTTTACATTGTTTTACAAATAATATATTAGAAGTATTATATAAATTTATTTCAGATTATTCGATTGTATGTTAACAACTAGCCGATGAGTTTATAAAAATTTAAACATTATTAAATCAAATATAAATAAAATAGATACGTGAAATGTAACTATGTTTCTACTTTCAGTACAGCTATATTTGACCGATTATTATTTTGTATTCTATTATTTTTTAAATGAAAGTTAAGCTACTCATATATGTATTTTATAATGATTTAACATCAAAGTTATTGATTGCGTTAAGGAATTATATTTGCAATATGAATTTAGCTTGATTCGTATTATAGAAAAAAACGTAGCAACTATTCACCATTAGTAATAGAAATATAGTCAGTGGACACAAGTTATATTAATTTAAAAAAAAACTGAAACAACAGCTTCTAGCTTTAGTATATTGGAATAGATTTACAACTTATATGAAGGCTAATTGCTACATAAGCCTGATTTTATGTACTTTATAATTATTGTAATTTATTATTTATTGGTAGTCCATATCGTATTCATCATCCTTCGATTGATCAGTCTAGATAAACATATCACAATATTAATAATATAAATAAATTAAATTAAACAACAGGTTTCAATGCACTATAATAACTATTTACTTGTAATATATTGACGGTTAATTTCTTATAATTCATTACTCACCGTTAAAATTAGGCTATATATATTACTGACAATTATATACATTTTTTAATTATTATATATCTCTTATTGATTATATAAATATATATACCACACACCGAGCCAAAATTAGTATAAAACTATTTTGGAATAATTTTTTTTCTACATGTAATATTATCCATTTTGTTCACTTCTATTCTTTAGACAATTTATTCGATAAATAAAATAAATACGGACAACTAATCAAGAATTCACTTTTTAGACAAATTATATAAATTTATTCATCATTAATGAACTGATAAAGATTTTCAACAAACAGCTATAACAAGAATCTAAATGATATTAGATTTAATTCTCTATGTAATTTTCGCTTAAATTTTTTACACAATTTATTCGATAAATAGATAAATATGAATAACTAATTAAGAGTTTAGTTATTACATAAATTATATAGATTAATTTATAGTTAATAGATTGATAAAGATTTTCAAAAAACAGCTATATTAAAAAAAAACAAAAATCAGAATGATAGCAAGTGGTTGATAGTGTAATACTTATTAAACGCATATCCTAAATTTATCCGATATGAAGAATTTAAACAAATATCTAAAAGTTAACAAAAATCTGAATATCACCAATTCCGATAGATAAACAAAACCACATGTATCTATTCCCAATCATTGCCCTTCGATCTACTTTCTATTTCAACCTCGCAATAATTTGATGATTTATCTTCTTATTTTTTAAAGTGTACGATTCATCGGCGAAGGTTCCAGGGGGGCTCCTGCACGGATCGCATTACCAGTTAGGAAATTACGATGAATGTATGTCGCCCCCTTTGAGACCGGGGCACGCTCCTGCAGGAATCGCGCCCCAGTATTGCATTGCCGATGTCACCCTAACGGCATCGAAGGAGATGGCTAAGAGATCGGGATTGTTCCAGGTATAAAAAGTTTAATTTAGGGTAAAATTTTATATTATAGACATAATTATAAAGAACGGAATTGCAAATTCGTACTTTTCACCTTCTCCAAAAGTTCACAAGAACGAAAGATTTAAGCGAAAATGGCTGCTCTCATTGCCAGATATGCTATATCAGAGATATAATATAAAGTTAAATTAACTATAAAATCAGTCGATTAATAGTATCCGATTTAGACATTTATAATTTATCCGAGAATTGTTCCCTTAAATTAATTTTAAACTAGTGGGGCGCATGGCATCGTTCCGAAAAAATTAGATTTTGGAGAAACTATAAATTTTTAACAAAAATTTACTTTTTTTTGAAAAAAAGACTTTTGAAGAAAAATTTATTTTGAAATATTTTGGAAATTCTGAACTTTTTTTCAAAACAATAGTACTGCTTTAACTGCATAGAGACAAAATATATGCCGTCTAACGGATAAACATTGGTACGGAACCCATAGGAATGTAAACGAAATTTATACTTATTGTTAAAATCTTTATAAAATATCTGATAATTTGATGTGCATATGTCTAATGATCATTTTTGACCGCCAAATGGCATTTTTTTTTCACTTTTTTAGTAGATCTCCGAAACCGTTAGACCTGCCTTTATGGAAATTTGATCAGTTCTTCATCTTGTTAATACAAGTAAAATGTTTTTTTGAATTATATAAATCCGTTTCTCAAAAACTGAGTTACCGTTTTTGTCACTTTTTGTCCCATATCTTCGGAACGGCTAGACCTGCCTTCGTGAAAAACTAATCAGCACGTCTGCTTATTAATACGAATCGAATGTTTTTTGAATTATTCAAATCGCTTCATCCGCGCTCCCGAAATCGTCGACGAAAAATTGTATCCGCACACACACGCATACACGCACATACACACACATACATACATTTTTTCTAAGGTATGCCAAAATGTTCAGAAGGTACGTACTTTACGTTTCAACGTAAAGATATCTAAAAATTTTCATTTTCGATTTATTTGCGATTACTGCGGGAAGTTAAAAAATCTAATATAATAAATATTTATTATAATTGAAAAGGCTCATTATTCGTTATACTTTCAATTCTGATAATTTACATATGTATTTTTTGTAAAGTCAGATTATAATTTTATAATGGAAACTAAAATAAATTTTATACATAACAAAAGTTACAAATAATACTAAATTGCGAAACAGAATTTTATGAATAACATTAAAAACATTCACTGACCGAGTGTCTAAAATATTCCTACCAAACGACAAAAGAATGTAACACATTAAACCTTGTCCAGGTATTACTAAAATCGTTAAAGTAAAGACATTAAAGTAGTACAAATAATTATAATAGCTATAGTTTTTAAGGACTCTCATTGGAAAGTTTCCTAAACAAACTCCATTTGCAAACACAATTTTGAGTTCAACTACTTCTCAATGACTTATAGAGTAACAAGATTCCACTATTAAATTTGTAAATAAAAAAGAGCTTTATTATTTTTTTGTATACACTGAATTAACTAAAATATAGTCATGGTTACTTGCAATTTGAACAAATTGATTTAATTGGCATAAATGATAGATAATTATTTTGTTTAGATTATTTGGCATAATTTTCAAACTGCAATTCATTATTTCTATCTTCGGAGTGATTCAAGTGATATTAATTATTAAGCATAATTATTTTTTGTACTTTAATTTCTCTACATAAACTTTTTAGTGTTTTTTTAGATATCACACATAATAAATTTCATAATATCTGAATATGGTGAAATTAAAAATAAATGAGTATTGATATATATATATATATATATATATATATATATATATATATATAGAATGTGGTATGCTGGTATGTATATGTCGTAGTACAAATTAATTTGTGATATGCTGATACATAACAGAAATTTTATCTTTAAATAGTTTTTATTAGATTATATATGAAATTAATTATTTTTTATCAAATAGATCTGATTAACAATATATTCGACAGCAAATTCGATAAACATTTTAAAAAACTTGAGCTTGAACTATAAACATTCCATTTGCCTATAAATAAATTTCAACAATGAAATATTATTTACAGACAAAATTTGTATAAATTATTATAAACTATAATTTATAATTTATATTCCGTTAAGTGTGTACATACACGATTGTTAAGAATGTAATTAATTAACTTAATATAATTAGTTAACTTTGAAATTACTTTAGTTAATTTACAATTGTTGCAAGTATACTGTAAACGTAATTTTGTATATATTTTTTATATTAATATGCTGTCTATTTGGAATATTCGGTAACTTATTATGATGTTCATGCTTTTCCTAACCAACAATCATTATATAAAAAAAATAATGAGTTCTCAATAAATTCATCTTATAATAATATTTATTTCCGCTTATTATGATAATATGGCATGTCGATAATTTAGACAAATTATTAAAATTTCAAACATTAATTTCATGGTCCCATGACTTTAATTCTGTTTATGGCGAAAAAACTACAAAACTACTTAATACTTTATAATATTGATTTATTTTATAATATGAAAAAGTAAATAATATCTACGAATCAGTTTCAATATTATTAGCCAAAACAAAAAAATAAACCGATTATTTTAAGTTTAATAGTAAGTTTTAAATTCAAATACATAAATCAAAAAATGAAAAAAAAAAGTTTCAAATATTATTTTAAAATTTTGTAATTTTTCTCACTTCTTGTATCTGTAGTTTTTTTTAGTCCGATATAAGAAATATTAAGATTAATCAATTTTCTTAATTATAAAAATAAGTTGTCAAATATCTCCCTTCCGCCTTTTTGTATTTATAAACCAAGAGCAAAAAAGCGGAAGGGAGATATATTTGACAACCTAATATTACAAATTCTCATTGATTTTATCTCAAAACAGTGACAAAATACCATTTAGAATTTAATTTCATTTAATAGCAGAAAACTGTTGAAAGCCTGAAACTGTAGATGTAAAATTTTTCCCAATTTTTTTGATTTCCATTTTAATCGATCCTACCTACATATTTCGAAAAATGCGTAATGCATTTTGATTTCATGATTAATATATATTAAAAAAGTAAATTATTAGTGCAATGATTGATTTATTATTAGATTTTATGACGCACTATAATTCTATTACTACGTATAGTATTTTTATGTGAGAATTTATGCTAATAATATGGAAATTACAGTGTATTCAACTATTAATTGACGATATTAATTGGCATAATCCGATGTGCATAATAGAGCAAAATATACATATTTATTACGCGATTTAATCAATTAGAACGAGCACAAGTCACTCATAATGGAAAAATCACAGATGCAAATGCAGTATTATACAATTGTCCCAAATAAAATTAATTATTACCTAAGAGTCACGTAATTTTTGGCGGCAGATGACTTTTGTTACGAGATTACGGAAATTCTTTTATTTAGAGAGATCCAGGAAATTTTGCAATATGATCCATTTGTTAATCCCACGATGTATGGATCCAAGGTCCATTCTAAACAGAATAAATTGTTTACGGACTCTACATATCTTAGTATAATCAAAACGATTTGTGAATTCATAATTAGCTAAAATGGCTAAACTCGTCTGCGATGTCGAAAAATAAAAACAGTTTCAGATGAATATGTATACTAATTTGGCAAAACCACGAGGGGGAACAGAACTCTATCTGAATGATAAAATGTACGTAAAGATAGTTTATAACAAAAACAAGTATAAGTAGTTGTATAAGTTTTATATTTTGCAATATATATTAGACTATCTTATTTCCGTGTTTTGATGGATTTTGAGCTATTTTGCATCAAATATTTTTCAACTTAGCGATACAACTTGTATAAACATACATAATTATTAAAAAGTATCACTCTTCTGGATAAATCAACATCGAATATTATTCTATGCTTAATACAGCTCTTAAATTGCAAGGGTGATAATTAACTGAAAATATTAAAAATTTAAATAATTTTAATTCTTAAATTTTGTTTAATATATTTAACGAAAAGCTTGAATATACATATTTTAATTTTATAATTATTTGATATGTTTTATAATGTTTTAATTATGTACCGAATCAACGATCATATTAACAAAAGCATTTTCTCTAATATTATATTTTTTATTAATTATCTATAATATAAAAATCAATTGAAAAAAGTGTTGGTAAGCGCATAACTTAACAACGGCTGGACGAATTTGGCCAATTCTTTTTTTAAAATGTTCGTTGAAATCCAAGGATGGTTCTTACGGCGAGAAAAAAAACGAACAATTGTCGAGAAAACCCTAAAACAGGCCTTTTTTGACATAAAAACGTTAGTATTTTCATATTTTTGCCATCGGATACGGAATATTTACTCAAGTCAATGGAGCGTTTCGGGTCTGAATTTTTTTACTGTGCTCCAATTCATATAAAACTTTTGAAATTAGGTTTGTCTTACTCTCAAGATCTAAAGTGAAAATAATTTTAGACTCCTTTGCCATTTCCCGGGGAGATGACATCCCTCTCATTGGTGTAATATCATTTTTTTCTTCAAAATAACCTCGGATATCGATAAAAGAACTAATTATAAGAAACAAATGTTTTATAATATTTTTCAAATAAGCAAATACTAATCATTTTATTTAAAGCATTTGTACATTCAAGATCCACAAGGGTGGTCATATGTACATTTCGGTATAGACTATAGTATAATTAATAGCTAATTGGTAGATATCAGTGTAGGTTATTTAAAAATATTTGAACTTTTGAATTGTAAACATAAGCACAGGACAACGGCGGTCGGGTCATCTAGTATAAAATAAATTGATTACAAATTTTTATATAAATGGAATACAAATTTTGAATTTGATTCTGATGCATTTCTCAATGCTTCTATCTACTTGCTTGATAATTGCATTTTATACTCTAATACAGTTCTCAAAAGTATGATTTAAATGCCTTAATTAATGTGTATATTATTTTTAATAATATTTTTCGAATCAACGACAATATTAATAAATATTATTCTCTAATATGATTTTGTTTGATAATTATAAAAATAAATTAAATACAAATTTCAATACAAATTGAATACAAATTTCGAATTTGCCTCCGGTGCATCTTTTAGTCTGTATTCATTTGAAAAAATAGTTGAAATTTATTATTTAAAAAATATGAATTAATAAACACTGTAAGTTATAGTAGTGTTTCGGCAAAGTTTTTGAAATATTTCGAGATTATTTAGATATTTCATATATATTGATATATGACAAAATTGTATGCCAAAACGTCTGAGAAAATAAATATGGTTTAAGTTTTAAATGGGGTTCTTCTCGAAGTTATGCCCTTCTAAAATTGGTTCATACACTTTAATATCAAATTTTACAATTATTTTTTATTCATATTTAAATGTCGTTCTTTAAATTTCATTGTTTATCTATTTAATTTTATTTAGTTATAGTTATTTTTCACTATGACTACTTTATATGAATGAAGCCCAGAGAATAGCCGAAATGCTAGTATTTATAAATTTATAAATTTATAATAAACTCATTTTAAAAATAAAAATATATATTATAAAAATCTTATTTTTATTGATGTAAAGTCCGATTGATCATTGGACTCCCTATAGATTTGCATATGAAATTTGAAGATAATAATAATAAATAATAAATGGTACTCTGCCCGAAGGCAGGTCCATGGTGGGAGAGCCATAAGCAAATGATTCCCTTAAATTTGAAGATATTTGAAATAATTAACAGCCAATGCTTAGACATAAAATTAATATTTATGAACTATGAGATAACAAAAACAAATTTATTTTGATGCATTGGATGTTAATTAATTTAAAACATATATTAATTATTCGAAATAAACAATTATAAAATTAAATTAAATATCTATCTTTCAAATACTGAATTTAAATTATTTAATATATTTAATTGCTATTATAACATAAATTAAATTTAAATTATTTAATAACAGTAGTAGTACAAAGATTCAAAGATCTTTCGGCCCAGGTATCCTAAACTTTTATCAGGGGGCGTAGCTCAGATGGTAGAGCGCTCGCTTAGCATGCGAGAGGTACCGGGATCGATGCCCGGCGCCTCCATCCGATATTTTACCAATTTTATTCATTCCCGTTTAATTAATATTACAATTAGCCAATTTTTATTTCTTAATAATATATATTTTATTTTTAAATATTTATTTATAATTTCTCTTACAGAATGGTGATGTAACATTACACTGGGCCATATGCATTCCATCATCATGTACGCCTGTCGACACCGCACAATTCATGCAAGGTGTTTTGGGAAGCACTGGCTTCGTTATACCAGGAGTAAATATATCTTTCCAAGTCGGTGATCATATGTGCCAACAACCGTATAAATTGGATGTTGATGGCTTAGATATATTTTTCATGTAAGTTGAAAAATCTCACTTGAAGAAATTATTTTTAAAGGCTACTTATATCCCAATTGCCCCTGAATACACATTTTTTTTGTTACAGATCTGCTATTGCATTATTCATTCTAATAATCTGTGTTTCTACTGCCTACCATTTGGTAAAAATATGCAGAAAAAATACATCTAAATCTAAGAAAACACTCGCTGAACAAATACTGATGTCTTTTTCATTTGTGGGTAAGCACCAATCTTGTATTGGAACTTTGTAAGCCAGCTTTCAAATAATATTTCCATTATCCATGTTAATGTTTTATTTTAGAAAATATTAGAAAACTTGGTTCAAAAAGTTCCTCAGACTTAGGACTGGAGTCCTTAAACGGTATAAAAGCTTTGGCAATGTTCTTTATTGTTAGCGGGCACGCTTTACAGTTTTTGGTAACAGGACCAGTATTAAATGCAGATTTTTTCCAAAGGGTAAAGATTTCAATACAATAACTTCAAAAACCAATTGCATAAATAATATTAGTTTAGCAAAGATTTCATTATATTTTTAGGAAAAATCAAAGATCCAAAATGCTTTTCTACTCAATAGTCCTTTGCTGGTTGATACATTTTTATTACTTAGTGGATTTTTAATGTGTCGTATTTTATTGTTGGAATTAGAAAAACAAAAAGGGCGAATCAGTTTCTGGGCACTATACGTATTCAGATATACTAGGTAAGCTTCCAATTTTAAGATTACTTATTGATATTTTATTGATGAATGGTATGATATAGTTACTTTTTTATTTCAGATTAACACCAGCTTATTTAGTAGTGATTATGTTATATAGCACGTGGTTAGTAGATTTAAATGATGGCCCATTATGGGAACAAATTATGTATCAAGAAAGAGATCGTTGCAGATCATCTTGGTGGTCAAATATTCTTTATATAAACAACTATGTGAATACAGATAAATTGGTAAGTAAAAATTATGATCCTACAAGTCTGCTCTTAAACAGACATCAAAATTTCATTCATAAATTAGTGATAACAATTTTTGGTTCAACTTATTTTAAAAACGATTTTTGATTGATTCAAAATTTGCATAAGTTTATACATTTATCGAATATGATTTAAAGAAATGAGTTCATATTCGAGACAAGTAAGTTGAATAAACGAACAAATTTTTGTGAATATGGGCACACTACATAACAGCTAATATTGTTTTAAATTATATATTATATATATATATATATATATATATATATATGTATTAACAAATTAAAAAATCACTTACTTTTAGTGTATGTTCCAATCATGGTACTTATCTGCTGATACCCAACTATTTTTCTTGGCTCCTTTTGTGGTTTATCCACTTTGGAGGTGGAGACGACTAGGAGAAGTTTTCCTAGGAGCCGTTACTATGTTATCAGTTGCCATACCAATAGCAGTCACCTATATCAATGATTTAACACCAACTTTATTAATAACATCAACGTAAGAATATATCATAATATTCAAATAATATAATTCAGCAACTATACAATTAATATAATTCAGCAGGCGTTAAAATGCTGACTTTGTTTCATGAAATGCAATTAATCGGTTATGAATTGAATTACATTTTTAGTTAATAAATCCAAAAACATAAAAATTATGTAATTGAAATTTTGTTTATACTAATGAAAATCTTCTTAAATAATACGCTTTTATTTTAGAAAATCACCAGATTTGTCCACACATGAATATTTCAAAACAACTTATATAAAAACGCACATGAGAGCAAGTTCATATTGCTTAGGACTGATATGTGGATACATATTGCATAGGATGCAACAAAACAGGTAAAATATACATATGAAAAATAAGCTTCAAAGGTAACCCTTTCCACTCGGATGCCGCCGCTGCGGCGGCAAAATACATACTAATTCAAAAATTAGCGAGTGAAAAGGGTTACTATGCTTTAATGATATCAATGCAATTTGTTGTGTAATCTAATTCATATCTTACTAATTTGTTCATTTTGTGAAGTTTTCTTATAATTCATAACTGGTGCTAACTTTACTGACTATATTCAGTGTTGCGTAATGTTACTTATGTAAACAATGCTTCTTTTTGCTTGCTTGAAATTGCATTTTATACAGCAATACAGTTCTCAATAGTATAAAAGCAATGCCTTGTTAAATAAGTTTTTTATATCATCGAATTTTTAGTACTATTTAAAACTTCTATCTCAAATGCTCATAGTATTACATATTTCTAAACAGTATATTTTTGCAAAAATAGACGATAAATAGGCATGAATAATAATTTGAACTTGTCGTTGTAAAAAATAAATTAAGCATTAATTTGAAGATTGATTAAAATGTGTTATTTAACCAGTTAACTGTAATTGACGAATATACTCGTCATGAAGAAGTTGTATAATTTTGTGTTGTGGTCATTCATACAAACCATTTACCTTTGGCTATTTAGATTGCAATTTTTGAATAAAAAAGAAAAACCTATCAACTAAACAGAATAGAAGAAAAAAACGTAAAAACTAAACGTATTCTCAACATATCTCTCAAGATATTTAGATAAATTTTAGGCTAGGTCAATATGAAAAAAATAATTGTAAGTGGCATTTTACATAACAAAATTTTACCTCGATTCTGACGATAAAAAAGAGGGCAATGTGCTTAATGTGGGCGACACAGTTAAATGGTTCAAATTAATTTCAGAAACGGTGATTTACGGGCCGATTCTGCTGTAAAATAGACCAATATTATGGCAAGGTTATTTTACGTTCCAGTTTTCATACAAAATGCAACTAAATACTGTCAAAATGTCATTATCAGGAAATACATGGCAATCAGGCGTCTTACATATAAAATACAACTTTACTCATATGTGATCAAGCCATATCTCAAAGATCCAGCTATGATAACATTGCTTTTTTACGTTTTCTTGACATTTGTGCCTTTTCTAGGTTGGGTTTTTAATTTAAAACACCTGACTGCACAGCAACCACATAAGATGTTGACAGTTTTTAGTACCACTTTATTGAAAAATGCTACATAACATAACCTTGCCATAACATCAGTCTCTTTTACGGCATAATTGGTTCCTGAAATAGATCATAATTACTAAATAATGATGTATCTACTCGCATTCTTTGTGACAACCTAATTTTTGACCGCTAAATGGAATTTTTTTACTTTTTGCATTAGATCTCCGAAACCACTAGACCTGCCTCCATAAAAATTTGATTAATTCTTTATCGTGTCAATACAAGTAAAATGTTTTTTGAATTATTCAAATCGGACGCTCCATTCTCTTAAAAACTGAGTTACCGTTTTTGGCACTTTTTGCCCCGTATCTTCGGAACGGCTAGACCTGCCTTCGCCAAAAACTAATCAGCACGTTTCCTTATCAATACGAAACGAATGTTTTTTGAATTATTCAAATTGTTTTATCCGTGCTCGCAAAATCGTCGACGAAAATTTGTATCTGCACACACATACATACACGCACACACACACACACATACACACACGCACATACATCCATTTTTTGTAAGGTATGCCAAAATGTTCAGAAGGTTCTGAAACGTAAAGATATATAAAAATTTTCATTTTTGATTTTTTTGCGATTACTATAACTTGCTCTACGGGAAGTTAATAAATCGTTTTTTTTATTTTAATTACAATTTGCCACACTTAGGACATTCAGTAATTGTTTTGACTTTTATTTATTGCCACCGATTCTCATAAATAAATCGCTTTAAAAATAATTTAAATAACCGATTAAAAATAAAATAGGTTTCATCCGCATTTTACCATCAGCATATTATTTTAATTTGTTATTCACTTGAATATTATCCAAAATGATATAACATTCCAGCAATTTAAATAAAGCATATATACGTTATCATAGACACAACTAGGTAAATGCATTTTTTATGTAAATAACTTATAAATAAATCTACAGAACACTTCTGTTACACATACCTGACTCACTTTCTCTTTCAACGTAAATAACAATAACGCTTAACAAAAACTTCTTCCTTCACACCCACATGTCTTTATTCTTTGTGTTAACACTCTAACACCTGTATGTTGCTTCTGCTCGTTCTGTGTGTCAACTCAGGCCCGATGTGCATCAATATAACGTATGTAATAGTTCCGACACCACCAACAATGGGACGACATCTGCAATAAGACAAAGGACATTCCCCAAATGGGTGGTGTGCTGCGGATGGGCGGTGGGGCTCCTGGCTGGAGCAGGGTCCATGTTCTCGGTGACCGCGTTTTACCAGCCGGACAGTGTGGCTGATCCTATGACCTCGGCGTTGTATGCAGGGTTGCATAGGTTCGCCTGGTGCGTTGGCACTGGGTGGCTGATTATTGCTTGTGCGACTGGCCATGGAGGTAATGATATAAATCAGAAATCTATTTCATACACATAAACTTGAGTACAATTGTAAATCATTGTTTTTTGTACAGTTAGATGAACATCTTATAATTTTTATTTTTAACAGTTTCAGAATAAACATCTTATGGAATATTCGTCCAATTCATTCACTCATACATATAGACTCACTCTTGTAATAAAATATACCCACACGTATGAAATTATTATGCTAAATTTTAGTTTATCACTCCAATAAGTGGTTCACCAATTAAGCTCAGTTCTCCAATGCTATAGTAATGCTAAATGCATTGAATATTGCCTTTAGGATTCTTCCTTCTCAATCGTCTTGAAACTGATAATTCAAGTTTCATAAATAAATATGAACATATCATTCTTTACTACGCTGAATATGTTTAATAATATTATATCTTAAAATTTTATGGCTCATTTTTCTATCAGAAATAGGATTTATTTCTCGACTGTCTTGACTTTCCTGTCGATTGTATTGATTTTCATCTCCTGCTTCATCTTCATAACCATGAGATATATCAGCAGTTTCTTGTAAATTATAATTATGATATTGATAGTCCACATAATCTTCCTGTTCACTCACACTAGTTACATTTTCTTCCTGATGCTGATTATCTATATTTTGTAATACTAAATAATAGGTATATTAACAAAGTACAGTATTTTGTTATTTACCTTCGTCAGGCTTCTGATTATTTGACGATTCTATACCACATACCAGTTGCTATCAATTTCTTCTAATAATTCAAAAATTTCTAACCATTTAATTTTCATATATTGCTATTAACATTTTATAATATGTACATTATTTTTAGGAATCAAAAGTATATTTTTCAAGAATATTAACATTTTTGAACACTATATAAGGATTCGATCTGAGTACTTTTCAGATGGCCACGTCCGCCATTCTTCTAATGATTAGAAGCCATGTTTTATCCCGTTGATGAATTTTTTTTATTATATTTGATATAATAGAGTGCTATAAATTATAGCACTCTATTATATCAACATTGGAGTAACCCTTTCTTCTCTCCATTCGAATGATGTATTGTATCATATTAATTTAATTTTATTGAACCAGATAAGTAATATGTTTTTTTTTGAGTCTTGCAACACAAAACCTTGCAAAACTAATATATTCGGGTGGTTTAGTATTTACAAACACCAAATCCGAAATCGGATTAATATATTCCACCATCTGGTTCAAGTTTTAAAACTAAGCGGGATGTTAATTTTAAATTCACAGATAGAATATATAGTTTTTGTGAAATGAGTTTCATTTACCTTTAACCATCCTTTATTAACTACATGCATCATCATTTTATTATCCCAACAAACAAATATCAAGTTTTTCTCAAATGTCCCATCCTCAACCGGTACGCAAGGCAAGATCTCAACCTGGAATGACGCATAGGTTGAGGTTAGCGTGCGATACAGGGTACCCGGCCCGTTGGGTACGGGACATGGAAATATTTGTACATATTACATATAAATTTTCAAATACCCTAGTCAAAGATATCATCATATTTATATTTTCCTGATTAATTGGAGGAGATTTAAACGTTTGATCTAAATTGGAGGAGGAGATTGATGTAAATTATAAATTTACAGAATAAAGAACTATTAATTTTCATCTTATTTGAAGTTTATTCATATGTTAGTACTTACTTAGTAGAGATTATTTTGATGCAATAAATGTAGTTTGATGCAATAATTTAAAATTTTGATGCAAAAAATGCAGAATAACTAATTCCACATTATTGTGAAAGAGATAAAAAATTAATGTCCATTTGCACATTCCACATTTCAGTATCCTATTTTTCTAGCAACTTTTTTTCTTAAATGCTTTACATATTTATATCTATTTTGTAGGTTTCTTGAACAAATTGCTATCATGGCGAGCTCTTGTTCCTCTTAGTCGATTAACTTATTGTGCCTATTTGATGAATGGATTGATAGAATTATATGCACTTGCCACTGTGAGAACTGGACGCTATATGAGTGTATACACACTGGTAAGTTAATTTTTATAAAATTAAAATAAAATTTTATAAAAAAACCATGCAAACCTATTTTGCAAACCGAATAGAATAAATAATTAAAACAAAGTATACGTAAAAAGTGATCTGAAGAAAAATACGAATAAAACGACTTTTAAATTTATTATTAATTTTCAGTTGTCTGACTGCCTCTCGCATTTATGCCTCACATTTTTGGGAGCTCTCATATTGTGCGTAATGTTCGAATCACCGATGCACGGTTTGCAAAAAATTCTCATAGACAAATGTAAGTAAATACATTATCATTGTCTTTATTTTTATAACATTAATAAATATGTGAGACAAAATAAACAAGACAACCTAATATTATATATAATATAATAAATTTCTATTACCTCTTTCAGTTATGAAATCACCTAAAAAATCTCAGGAGACAAATAATGAAGCGTGATATAAAATTAATTTAGATATAGTACCTACTTAAGCCGCATGTCCTCATAGTTTGTAAGATTTTTGTATATATCAGTATTTAGTTAAATAAATTATTTTATACTCGATTACGATATCATATTTTGTTTTGAATTGGTTTTCAAATGTGGATGTATTTATTCACGCTTGTGTAATAAAACAAAGTCGTTAATGCATTTTAATAGGCATCAAAAATACAAAGTCAAAATAATTAGTCGAAATTTTGACACAATTAAATTTCATGTAGTTGTATAGAAATTTTGTTGTGCATTATTTAAAACTAATTGCTCTTTGAGATAAAAATAGTATAGGTCAAAATTCAATATATCAGTAGAAAGTTTCCATGTTGCTAGTTTAGGAAAGCCTTTTAAATTAAATAAATTAACATTTTTCTAAATTTTAAATAATTTATGGCAGCTTCAGTTTACATCAAAATAAACTCACATTATATTTCTTATCAATTTTCATCAGCCCCATCATCATTTCTTTTATCTTCATTTTCAGTCCATTCCCAATCTTTAAGATCATGATCTTCACCATCGATTTCTCTCTCAGTAGTAGGTTCAGTAGCATCTTCTTCATCTAATTCATCATTATATTCGTAATCATGAAGATCATGACTATATTCCTGAGCACTTTCTGAATTTGGATCTCTTTCAGTACTTAGTTCATCATCGAAGCTCATTTCTCTATCAGAAATAGGATTTATATCTTGGCTGTCTTGACTTTCTTGCCGATAATATTGATTTTCATCACCTGCTTCATCTTCATAATCATGAGATACATCAGCAGTTTCTTGTGAATTATAATTATGATATTGATAGTGCACATTATCTTCCTGTTCACTCCCACTAGTTACATTTTCTTCCTGATGCTGATCATCAATATTTTCTAACACTAAATAAAAAGAATTTTAAACAAGTACAGCATTTGTTTAAATTATGAATTGTTATTTACCTTCGACAGGCTTCTGATCATTTGACGATTTCATGATAATATTTTTTATAGCTTGCATAGGAGTGTCAAATAATAAAGTAACCACAATTGATGCAATTATCACAGCAACAAATTCTAAAACATTAAACTGCAACAAAATTATAATTAATATAAGAATCTATGTAATTAAAATAATAGAAATAGACTACAAAAGATTTCCAATTAGATTTTAAACTCAATTTTATGATGAACTGGATTACTTTAAAAAAAGAGGATCCAAACTTAAAATCAATCGTACCTACAACCTACTCATAATCAATTAGAGGTATTAAATTTTGATATGACACGTTTTTAGAGATTTATATTCATACAGATATATATAATATATATATATATATATATAATATATTACTAAATTATAAAATACTCACAGATTGCATAACATCAAAAACTGTCGATGATCGATAAGTACCCACATTATAGAAAAATATAATAAACTGTACTAAATATATTGCGTAGGAAATCCTGCTCAGCAGGATCAATGGTCTACTACACAGAAAACTATTTATTGATCCTAAAAAACACAATTCATATTTTTTTATTTCTATTATGAAACTTAATGTATTTTTTATACCTCCATTATTTGTATGACAAGCAAAAATTAGCCAACTTAATGCCAAGGCCCAGGCTACTGAAGATGATGCTGCAAATTGTGCAGCTTCTTCTACATTATACTGGTAATCTCTTTTAGCTAAATGTGCTGGTGCATTAAAAGTCCAACCGAAAAAATATAAAGCACCCAGCCATCCTAATGCTACTATCACCTATTAAATAAATAAGTAAATGAAATATTAACTAATAAATTAAAGGGCATTCTAGAATAGTGAGGAAAAAGTTATGGCAAGGCCATATTATGAACAACTTTCCATACTAAATATTGAAGAAGCCGTGTGATTAGTGTGCAGTCAGGCGTTTTACTCAGGTTGTCAGATAGAAAACCTAACCTAGAAACCGCTCAAATGTCAAAAAAAAAACTATCTTAGATAACAGGGTGTTTCTGACACAGCTTCATAACATACGCGTGACGTTGCAGTTTATGTATAAAACGCCCGAATGCACAGCACATACATGACATTTGACAGCATTCAGTAGCATAATGTACGGAAATTGTAGCTTAACATGGCCTTGCCATAACATTTTTCTGTTATGCGGCAGAATCAGTCCCTTAATATGAACTACATGCTTAATGATTTATCCATATAACACGATTTTTTCATTAATATTTAAGATATGTAATTTTTAATTACCTTAGGAAGACGGACATTTTTTTCAGTATTCTTCAACATCACTCCAAGTCCAACACCAGTAAGATACGGAGTAGCTCTATGCAAAGCAATTGCATACGTAAGATTGGCAGTTCTTATTAATTGTGAAAGTCTACAATCGTTTAAATTAGAATTACCTATGATTGTATTTTATGACATCTACAATTTGTCTTTTAACTTACGATATTCCATGGAAAATCACTAATGACAATCGATGGTTGAGTGTAGAAAAATATCTCAAACCAACAGACAAGGAATGAAATCCACCAAGTAATGCAAGACCCCACATTGGTGCCTTATATAAAAACCATACTAAAATTGGTGCAAGAATTGTAAGCTGCATGTCCAGAGCAAGCTGATGGGTATGGGTCGCACACTGGATAAAAATAAATTAAAATTAGAGACAAATCATTAGTTGAATATTATTATTAGCGACCTACCATTTCCTCGAAAGGATAGAAGTTCTGTATATATAACAAATTTTTCCATAAATTATCCTGGCACAATCGTGCATTTGCACTGACAACATTTGACCACTGAGGCCCGCCTCCTATGTGGTCCCAAATATAGGCATAAAATAGTACTACAGCTGCCAAAGCAGGAGTGAGTCTACACTAGATAAATATTCCTTTAATTTATTGCAAATTAAAATAAAATACTTTGTATCAATATTATAATTACCGTATATATCGAGTGATAAGTCTTTTAAACCATGAAATTTCACCTTTACTCATCATATCCTTGCTCATATTGTACGCAGACAAAACGCCACTCAATAATAAAAATGTATCTGTATATATCAAAGATACTCTCAGAAAAACACTCCATTGAGAGTTTGCAAGCTGCATAAAATATTTATGAGTTGATTATAAAATTATCTGATATAATTCTGTGTACCTCAGTTAGGAATGTCCTGTGTTGAGAAAGGAATCCTAGCAATTGGCAAAAGTTTATGAGCACAGTATAAATTAAGGTGGTTACAGCTCTGATACCATGAATGCATTGAATGTCATCACTTGTTTGCTCATTTTTCAGTAATTCCTCACATGATCGTTTTATAGAAAATGACATAAGTATTTTGTGACAAAAGCCTGAAATATTTAATTTTTATTATGCACAAAGTTAACAGAAATCTTGTTTTGTATAAATATGCCATCAAAAGCCACTCACTATACCATCTTTGTTTTGATGTTGTCTCCTTATATTCAGCAACATCTTCATGTTGTTCTTTGGTATCAGCAACATCTGTCCAGGATTGCCAGCAATCCTTAAGAGTCGCCAAGCATGCAAGTCCAAAGATAAATATATAAAATCCACTGAAATTAATATAATAATTATTATAAACCATATGGACAAATAACTAAATATTCTTACAATTAGAATTTCGAATGTGAGTAAAGAACATATGTGAGTCGTTACATTTTTACCAGCAAAAGAATATGAAGGTGTATTTCCAGGCGCAAATTTCTAATATTACAGATAGTACTTTTTATTTTATGTGAAATTTATATGACTTATTCATATATTTGTTACGTTCAAAAAATATTTAGAACTAGGTGTAAGTGGCATTGTACCTTTTCAACTTCCCGTAGGGTAAGTTATAGTAATGGGCTTAAATTTTTTGCATATCTTCACGTTTTAGAGATTTCTGAACATTTTGGCATACTTAAAAAAAATGATGTGTGTGTGTGCGTGTGTGTATGCATGTGAGGATACATTTTTTCGTCGACGTTTTCAGGAGTACCGCTCAACCGATTAGAATGGATAAAAAAATATTTTATTCCTATGATAGAGAGATGTACTGAATAGTTTTTGGCCAAGACAGGTCTAGCCGTTCTGGTGGTACAAACCAAAGAGTGCAAAAAATAGAAATCAAGTTTTTGAGAGAACTAAGCATCCGATTTGAATGATCCAAAAAGTATTCAATTTGTAATTATGAGGAGAAGTGGTGATTAGATTTTGGCAAAGGCAGGTGTTATCGTTTCGGAGATACGAAGCTAAATATGCAAAAAATGACAGTTTCTGAGAATATCAAGCATCCGATTTAAATGATTCAGAAAACTTTCTGCTTGTGTGACAAAACGATTGTTTTTGGAGAAATTTTTTTTTAAATTCTTTTTTTCTTATTTTTCAAAAAATATTTTTTTTATTGAATTTTATTACTCGAATATTTCATTATAGTACGGAAAGTTCTAGCAATTTGCTTCAAGTCACGATTTTCTGGGTATAACAAGGGCATCTCTTCATTTCCATCGAAAATTTGATAAATAATAATCATATAAAATATCAGATAAAATCATATATTTGGTCATAAAAGCAAAGGAATAAAAACTAGACTTCCAACGAGCCTCTAATACCAATTAATTGCTTTTATTAATATTATTTTTTGTTCTTGTTATTTAGAATTTTTGTAATCATAAACTTGACCAGACCACAAAATATTTTGTAAATATTTCAAAATTTATGTTCTGGTTTGTATATTTCCTGTGACAAACTATCAAATAATTTTACTAGAAACTTACAGAGTGGCTAAGGTTCGGGAGAATGCCTCCACCATTCTACAGTTTTTGGTTTTGTAGCACATATCATCTTTGACATCCAATGATATTTTTAATCCTGTCGTCATATTATATGGTGAAATGGCATCAAGAAGAATATCTTCTGCATCTTGAGCGGTGCAAGCACTCGGAAGGCAAATTGCCCAATTGATTGTGGTGAATTTTGGGATGAAGTGGCCAGTCTGGAATAAAATAATAACATTCATATACTATATTAAATAAATTTTTTGAACAAGTACTAAGAAAATATATTTCAAATTATAAGTTATCAGCTGCTATGTTGTTGAAAAATTTGTTCTCTTTTCCATGATCAGCTTCTTAACATAATTTAATATTGAACCAGCAAGGTTAAAAATTGTATCACAATAATAAAAGTCAATGATAGTGAAAGTTAATATAGGTATTATTTCAGTAAGTTCATATTATCATCTAATTTAGTAGTAACTCTGCACATTTTATATATTTTTCAATAAAAAGTGAAGTTATTTTTTGGCGATTTTTGTACAAACCTTGTGGCTTTATTTTGTTCCACATGTAATTCTTATTAAATAAGTTATGTTTAAGAATTCCATTCACATTGTTCTCGCAAATTAGTAAAAATCAAAGGAGTACGTGAGCTGAAGCCAACAGATGACCAAATCTGTTAAATGTATCGTCAAACATAAATCAAGGTCGGGCAAATAATTTGCAACACGTTGCGCCGGCAATGAAAAATTTCGACAAAATAGTTAAGTTGAATCAAAATATATTTATATAAATTATTACTTCAGTTCAATTCCATATTCAATACAATTAACAGGTAAAAATCTGTCAACTTTGATACCATGAACAGTCACATGCATATTAGTCAGATTTTTCACTTATAATGTATATCTACGGATTTTTGAAACCAAGTCAAACCTATTTATTTACTATCACTAAATGATGAACTAGGTTTTTTATTAATTTGCCATAAAAATGTAAAATAAAAAATATTTTACATATTAGTTAGAAATTAATAGGACTAGAAGGGAACAACGACGTCAATTAAAAAAATATTTTTGGTAAACTACGATAACTGATTATCCACATTTTTCTTGATGACTACTTTATGTTTAAATTTAGTAATTTTCCTCTGTGATAGAGAATAAAAGTGCTTTTAGTGTTATACTATTAATTATCATAACTTGACATAATAGAATTTTGTTTGAACAAATCTTAAACAAATCCAGCAGATGCAATGTAATAAGTTTGAAAGATTTTAGCATTGAGATTATCTAGTAAAAGTAGGTGCAATAGATTACTCAAGCGTTAAAACGCAAACAAAACATCATGGACTGAAATAATCTCTATTTTAAAGATATTTATAAAAATATCATGGTATTTGAAATTGATATTTTCGAAGAAATCAAGATTTTATTTGTTTTGGAATGGTTTATTAGCAAAATTATTAATTGTCATTAATTTAAAGATAGACTAAATTAGAATGTTTTTGTATAGAAATGTAAACTATATTAAATATTTTTAGAAAATATTAATTAAAACTGATATATATATATATATATATATATATATATATATATTTTTATTAGGGTGGTCTTTAACAAGGACATTTTTGAATTTCTATGCTCCTAAGAGCGCAAATGCTTCCAAATGAATAAAAAATTAATCTCTAACAGTATCAGCTCTTAATATTAACATTTAGATAGAGCGCACGCCAATTGGAAGTTTTTTTATATTTGTTATTAACATACGTCATTAAGTAAATTCTAGCGCTATCTGTACGTGAACTCAAATATTATGACACATAAGAATATTTATAAACCACTTAACCTCTAATTAAATCCAAGTGGGCTGTTCTATCACATT